CTGGAGGGCCCCCGTCTTGAGGTTCAGCGTGTTGCTGCATTGAGTTTGTCTGGTAGAGAGGCATTGTTGGGCAGATTACGGCTTGGTCTTCCTTTGTAAACCGTAATGGACTGTAGCCCCTGCCACATGCGGCGGAGCATGGGTAACATGATTCCACCTTTTGCTTGTTTGATGACTCAGAGGAGGTCATAATGGGACTTCTTGTACTTGTTCCTGTCCTCAGCTGTAGCCTCAGGATTGTCTGCAATATCCCTGTGTGCGGTAGCCCTCTCCTTCAGATTGGGGAAGCAGTGAACCTTCACTGTGGGCCAAGTCGCCGATGCATTTCCTAATGAAGCCAGTGACAGAGGTGGTTAGCTCGTCAACGCTATCGGCGGAGTCTCAGAACATATTCCACGTTGATTCAATGTTATCACATTTTGGGGTTGAAATTATGTGGAAACCACGTTGATTCAACCAGTTTTTGCCCAGTCGGCAGCCTCCACCTGTTTGGCTCTGCTTTTGTTTCAGTCAGGGGATAGCTATACCGCACTCACTGCCTGTAGTTTATTATTATGGTAATTATTTAGCTTTACTATGGCAGTGAGTTACCCTGAAGCTGCAGAGCCTACTGCCAAGACGTACTGTATTCTCATTTACTTGGTTAAACAAATACATGGTGTTTTCTGTCTGAATTAATATTATAGAAAATGTACCACGGAGCAGTAGCTGAAAGGTACCACTTCCCTCGCCCTTTTGCCAAGAGTTTGATAGAGATGTGTCATACATTTAATACAAAGTTAGGTATATTATGGAACTGCATAGGTTACATGGATACAGCCTGTTGTGTTTATATTTTCAGGAGGATTAGCGGCCTACAATATGGGTCTGGATAATGTCCACTCATGTTGATGAGAACACCACTGGGAGGGACTACTCCAGGGGTGTTCTTGCCAGAGCTCAATGGTTATTCAAGTAAACTTTGATTCAGACCATTGTGAAAAATATGACATATCCTCTGCTGTCTCATTTAAACGTAGGCGTTAATGATGAATTGTTCATTTATTTTTTATAGAAGTTTTTCGTATACATTTTTACTAAAGTGAAGCTGCTCCTAATACCCTAGATCAAAACAATTTAAATAAACAACCCATCCAACCCTGTTTGTTCCCATCCCACCATTTAATGTGAGTCAAATAATAAGCTAATAACAATTATAACAACAAAACAAACAAACAAGACACACATTCAACAGGTCCTTGAAGGGACAGGTTGACAGGACAGGACCGGAAATGTAGACAGGACACCATTTAATAACAAATTCAACATTTGTATTTTGGGGAAGTCACCGTGTATATATGGGGAAAAGATTGTTGCAGGGGGTAAATCTTATTTGGTTTTGTAAACCTGATTAGATACAGAAGTAAATAAGTAAAAATAATAAAACAATAATAATAACAATAATAATAATAATAATATATTAGCTAAAAATAAATAGTAATAGCAACTTGGGTGTTAGAGGAATCACTAGGGTGGGATCAGCTCATCCGTAGCTGCAAGGAGTTGAGGAGTGGGGTCCAGTTTCCATTGAAGGAGTCTGTTTTGTCTTTGGTGGATGCTGTCATTCTTTCCATTGTGATGTGGTCTGTGAGAAGGTTGAGCCATTGACAAACAGACAGTTTGTATCTGTTTTTCCAGTTGAGTAATACTGATGTTTGGGTGGTAGGTCTGAAGATCTCCAAGAAGACAGAGGGATGAGGAGAGTGGAATGCTGTGACACAAAAATATGGATAGTTTGTGTATGGTTTATTTCCATAACTGTAGGGTGGGTGGACAGAGCCATGAGGTGTGAAAATAGTTGTCTGGAGTGTTGTTCATTAATTTTGATGCATTAATATAGTATTTCCCAATCCTTTGTTTTTACCCTAGCACTAACACACTTGATTAAACTCATCATCAATCCTTTAGTTGGGAAACATTTATCTAACATTCTAGTTCACATGATTTTCAAATCCAATGTAATGAGTACATTTGAAGGCTTTTTCTGACCTATTTATTCTCCCTGCAAGTGTCTTGCACCATCACTGTGTATGCTTGAAATAGCATGACTACAACCTTAGAAATATAAACTTTGATTACAATCTTGTGTTCTTGACCTGTTAAATATAAGTATGTAGGATTTTATTTTTATTTTTATTTATTTTATTTTATTTCACCTTTATTTAACCAGGTAAACCAGTTGAGAACAAGTTCTCATTTACAACTGCGACCTGGCCAAGATAAAGCAAAGCAGTGCGATAAAAACAACAACACAGAGTTACATATGGGGTAAAACAAAACAAAGTCAAAAATACAACAGAAATACATATATATACAGTGTGTGCAAATGTAGCAAGTTATGGAGGTAAGGCAATAAATAGGCTATAGTGCAAAATAATTACAATTAGTATTAACACTGGAATGATAGATGTGCAAGAGATGATGTGCAAATAGAGATACTGGGGTACAAATGAGCAGAATAAATAACAATATAGGGATGAGGTAGTTGGGCGGGCTAATTTCAGATGGGCTGTGTACAGGTGCAGTGATCGGTAAGGTGCTCTGACAACTGATGCTTAAAGTTAGTGAGGGAGATAAGTGTCTCCAGCTTCAGAGATTTTTGCAATTTGTTCCAGTCATTGGCAGCAGAGAACTGGAAGGAATGGCAGCCAAAGGAGGTGTTGGCTTTGGGGATGACCAGTGAGATATACCTGCTGGAGCGCAGACTACGGGTGGGTGTTGCTATGGTGACCAATGAGCTAAGATAAGGCAGGGATTTGCCTAGCAGTGATTTATAGATGGCCTGGAGCCAGTGGGTTTGGCGACGAATATGTAGTGAGGACCAGCCAACAAGAGCGTACAGGTCACATTGGTGGGTAGTATATGGGGCTTTGGAGACAAAACGGATGGCACTGTGATAGACTACGTCCAATTTGCTGAGTAGAGTGTTGGAGGCTATTTTGTAAATGACATCGCCGAAGTCAAGGATCGGTAGGATAGTCCGTTTTACGAGGGCATGTTTGGCAGCATGAGTGAAGGAGGCTTTGTTGCGAAATAGGAAACCGATTCTAGATTTAACTTTGGATTGGAGATTCTTAATGTGAGTCTGGAAGGAGAGTTTATAGTCTAACCAGACACCTAGATATTTGTAGTTGTCCACATACTCTAGGCCAGACCCGTCGAGAGTAGTGATTCTAGTCGGGTGGGCGGGTGCAAGCAGCGTTCGGTTGAAGAGCATGCATTTAGTTTTACTAGTGTTTAAGAGCAGTTGGAGGCTACTGAAGGAGTGTTGTATGGCATTGAAGCTCGTTTGGAGGTTTGTTAACACAGTGTCCAATGAAGGGCCAGATGTATACAAAATGGTGTCGTCTGCGTAGAGGTGGATCTGAGAGTCACCAGCAGCAAGAGCGACGTCATTGATATACACAGAGAAAAGAGTCGGCCCAAGAATTGAACCCTGTGGCACCCCCATAGAGACTGCCATAGGTCCAGACAACAGGCCCTCCGATTTGACACATTGAACTCTATCTGAGAAGTCGTTGGTGAACCAGGCGAGGCAGTCATTTGAGAAACCAAGGCTATTTAGTCTGCCAATAAGAATGCGGTGGTTGACAGAGTCGAAAGCCTCGGCCAGGTCAATGAAAACGGCTGCACAGTACTGTCTATTATCGATCGCGGTTATAATATTGTTTAGGACCTTGAGCGTGGCTGAAGTGCACCCATGACCAGCTCGGAAACCGGATTGCATAGCAGCGAAGGTACGGTGGGATTCGAAATGGTCGGTGATCTGTTTGTTGACTTGGCTTTCAAAAACTTTTGAAAGGCAGGGCAGGATGGATATAGGTCTGTAACAGTTTGGATCTAGAGTGTCACCCCCTTTGAAGAGGGGGATGACCACAGCAGCTTTCCAATCTCTGGGGATCTCAGACGTTACGAAAGAGAGATTGAACAGGCTAGTAATAGGGGTTGCGACAATTTCGGCAGCTAGTTTTAGAAAGAAAGGGTCCAGATTGTCTAGCCCAGATGATTTGTAGGGGTCCAGATTTTGCAGCTCTTTCAGAACATCAGCTGTCTGGATTTGTGTGAAGGAGAAGCGGGGGGGGCATGGGCAAGTTGCAGTGGGGGGTGCAGAGCTGGTGGCCGGGGTAGTATTAGCCAGGTGGAAAGCATGGCCAGCCGTAGCAAAAATGCTTGTTGAAATTCTCGATTATTGTAGATTTATCGGTGGTGATAGTGTTTCCTAGCCTCAGTGCAGTGGGCAGCTGGGAGGAAGTGCTCTTATTTTCCATGGACTTTACAGTGTCCCAAAACTTTTTGGAGTTAGTGCTACAGGATGCAAATTTCTGTTTGAAAAAGTTAGCCTTTGCTTTCCCAACTGCTTGTGTATATTGGTTCCTAACTTCCCTGAAAAGTTGCATATCGTGGGGGCTATTTGATGCTAATGCAGTATGCCACAGGATGTTTTTGTGCTGGTCAAGGGCAGTCAAGTCTGAGGAACACCAGGGGCTATATCTGTTCTTAGTTCTGTATTTTTTGAATGGGGCATGTTTATTTAAGATTGAGAGGAAATTACTTTTAAAGAACAACCAGGCATCCTCTACTGACGGAATGAGATCTATATCCATCCAGGATACCTGGGCCAGGTCAATTAGGAAGGCCTGCTCGCTGAAGGATATCGGATGGCAACCATAATCATGTAATATATTTACACACACACAGAGTTACTTGTCATAATAACATCCTACAGAACACGTGCTCACTTCTCAGTTTGGTAATATGTATTTATTTGTCAAAAAGTAGAGTGATTAAATTGCTGATTTGTACCATACACTGCATCTGGAAGCACTAGCAGTAAGAACACCCCATTTCATTTATCTGTGATTTAATCTCTATTGATTTTTAAATCAGATTGTTTTATTTTGTAGTTGAATCTTTGATTAATAAATGGTGTTACAGGAGGTACAGGAGGTTCCCTGGTGGTGCTACTTTTTGGGGTTGTGATCCACCCCGTCCTCATCCACCCAGATCTCTCCGGTCTTGGCGAACTTCACCTCTTTGTCGACAGTGAGGATGTAGGACTTGGGGTGACCGTCAGCATACTCTGCCAGGATATTGTTCAGCCCATTCAGTGGAGATTTCTCATGGCAAATATGTGTATTGCCACTTTCTACTTGGAAGCCAGTGACATAGAGGTTATGAGGGAGAAGGCTCTTCTTAAAGTCCCCTTCCAGGATGAGGATGGAGTCGCCCTTCTTGAGTTGACTCCCCTCGATGAGGTCACAGAGAGCCATCTTCTCTGCCTTGTAGTAGAGACGCACTTTGCCGCCTGTAGCGTTGGCTATATTACAACCTAAGAGAATGAGAGAACAAAAGAGAAACAGAGAGAGAGAGAGAATCAATACTGGACAGTGCTGAAAGAAATGTGGTTGTCAGTATTAGGTGTTTGCTAGGAACACTGCTGAGAGCAACAGTCACACACACTACTAACAATGTAAATGTTCAGAACTGTTCAGCCAGATAATGACAATGTTCCATACCAAGATGGCCTCCAAGTCAGGTGACCTCTCAGGTGACCATCAAATGAAAATCAGGTGACCTGTCACCTGACCCTATAAAGATGGCTGCCAAGCGCACCAAACATTTCTTGGTTTGGCAGCCATCGACTGACTTCACCAGTATGCGATCATGATCAACATGAGTTTTACCTGTGCCTTTAATGTACTACATTCATTGTTTAACTCCTAGTTCAACTTACTATAACTATTGATGTGTTTGTTTGGACCCCCTCTTTAGCATTGTTAATCCACCCACTACTGTCTTTAGTCAAGAGTACACTACAAACTCTCTAGCATGGTCTTACAAGCAATTTATTTTAACATTAAAACTCATTTTCTGCAATTCTACAGTTTGACATGACTTACTATGCCTCTCTTGAGGGGTATATGGAGGGATACTATGAAAACGCAGTATAAGTGGAAGGCCCCCCAACAACAACAAAAAAGCTTAGGAAAAATGTGAACTTCCTGCATTTCAACATATTTTGCCATCGGGCAGAGAAATGTGTTTTTATGTCTGAGAGAATTTAGCAGTTTTAAAGCTAATTTCCTGCAATTCTACACTTGGCCATGGGGCAGAGAGAAAAAAATGTGGTTTTATAGCTCATGTCATGCTATTCTTCACATTTTGCCATGAGGATGAGAGAAAAGTATGCAGTTTTAAAGTAACTGTTCAGTGAAAATCTCACTTAAGTTCATATTCTGTTAACTCATACGCAAATAATGTTGTTGACTCATCCTATACTTGTATTTGTGGCGAAAGCATACATTTGAGAAAAAACCACAATGCTTGCTATTTCCTCAGAGGATGTCGTTGTCCTGAGGCGGATGAGCTGACCAATCAGCAGTCTACTCAAATTAATATTTAATGAACGGTATATGCCCAAACCATTCTGTTGTTGGGGTACGCCCACACCATTCCAACACAGAAAATATGCTTAACATACGTAATTAAACATTTTTGGGAAGGAAAACCATTTCGCTCATATTGTAATTCATTATAGGTCATATTTCATAGAAATCTGGAAACACTGGGCAATTACTTTAAAGGTAGACTTTGGTCAAAAACGCAAAAATAACGGCTTTAAACTTGAACCTGGTATGATGGTGCATTGATCAGTTATTTAATGCTTTAAAAATAAATGAATACGATATTTGGCTACGGAAGTGCCATCTCTACAGCTTCCGTCCAAAAACAAATCCTGTGAAATGACAACACATACTGAAGAAGTTACTGGCTAGCTACAAGTGGCTAGCTTAGCTAATGAACTAGCTACGTCGTTCGCGGCGCGCATGACCCACCAAAGGCACACCCCATTTCTGTTTGAAAATTGAGAAAGGAGGAGTTGGACCGTTTTCCGTGCCCAAAGCCGACCGTTATAGCTAATTTCCTGCAATTCTACATATTTTGCCATTGCTTACGACATGTTCATATGCTATCTGGGGGGGCCCCCAACCTCCAGGGGGCCAACAACCTGCTCTGAATTTTGAGGGGGACATGTCCCCCCCATCCCCTGTGGCAGTTCCGCTTCTGCTTAGAATCCCATGTGGGATGGGCCACATAGGCTAAGTGGCAACTAATTTATTAATAGACAGAGTCCCTGCTCCAGTTGGACTGGATTACATTCTTATATGTTTTTTGTAATGTTTTTTTTTTATTGAATATTAAAACAATCTGCTTGCAGTGAAGGTTTACATACCTTCCGCATCGCTGTTGATGTTGATTGAACCACTAGCTCCTATTGCTGCTATAGAGGGAGGGAAGAGAGGTGAGAAAGAGGACAAATGCAAATTCCTGATCGATTTCAATTCTTGAATTTTAATAAATGGTAGATTACAATACACAGTACCACCATCAGGATGTTACACTACAGACAGTGTCCAAGTATTCACCCCCCTTTTACTTTCCGTTTTTTGTGTTAAACGGCAACTAAAATTTATTTAATTTGGGACTTTGTCACTGATCTACACAAAATATTCCATAATGTTAGTGATTTAAAACAATGTCTTTAAAATAAACTAAGTGTTCAACCCCTTTTATGGCAAGCTTAAATTAGTTCACGAAAACATTTATTTTAAAAATCAAATAATAGATTGCATTGACTCTCTCTGTGCAATAATTGTGGTTAACATGATTTTGTTCATGACTGATCCATCTCTGCACTGTACCCCATACATACAACATCTGTAAGTTCCCTCAGTCGTCTCTGCTCAGGTCATGCCACTATGGCTGTGTTTAGACAAGCAACCCAATTCTGATATTTTTCTCAGTAATTGGTCTTTTGACCAATCAGATCAGTTCTGAAAAAAGATCTGCTCTAATTGATCTTTTGACCAATCAGATCAGTTCTGAAAAAGATCTGATGTGGTTGGTCAAAATACCAATTAGTAGAAAAAATATCAGAATTGAGCTGCTTGTGTAAACGCAGCCTATGAAGCTAATCTCGTCGCCAGCCGGGTCTCTCTGTAGTAATTAAGCCTGGGGACGAGATTACCACGAGGCCAATAGTGATTTAAAACCTAAAGCATGTATTTTAAATGATGTACCCACCTGTGTCTGTGTTCTTCCTCTGTGCAGTGGAGGGCTTGAAGGTTGTAGTGATCAGGTGTTCTAGTGCAGAGTGGAGAGATGGCTCTGCCTTTATAGGGTAGCGCTGACAGAGGGTGGATGGGGAGTTCTCAGCCCAATCCAGGTAAAAGTTTATGTGCCAGAGAACTGAAGAGAAGGATTCAGTTCGAGAACTGACGTGGGCATCACAAGAGCAGTATATTTAGCACTAAAATGTATTTCATCTCAAAGTGCCATACCTTTAACTACCCCTGACAGGTAAATCACTGACAATTAAGGGAGTTTGATCACCTAAAATAATAAAACAATGATCAGACTAAGATTTACAAAATTGTAACCATGTGAAAGTCTCTGAGTTGCTATCTATGTGGAGTGGTTCTCTTGCTTGTTAAAACTGATCTCAGATCAGCTGGTAGCAGGGTCTTCGCCTGAAGGTCTACGCGCTGTCTCAGGTCCAGTTTGTGCTGGAAGCCGTAGAGGCAGCAGTGGTAGGGCTGGTTGCTACTGTGCTGACGGCTGTGGGTGATGAGGTTGGAGCTCTGGCTGAAGGCTTTGCCACACACCTGGCACGCATGGGGCTTCTCACCTGGGAAAGGAGGGCAGAGGGGACATAGTATTAAAGGGAAGTTCATTCTTTTATAATGTAATGTTAGATGGTTCCTCACCCCGAAAGTAGTCTATGTGCAAGGAAAAACTAACGCATGGTTTGGTTTCTTTATATTTTATATATATTCCCACATACTCCGGCACGTAGCCACTACATTTTTACCAGGCACCACATGCCCCTACCACTCCCATTGGTTTTTTGTTCTTTTCTTTTCAATAGTTAATAAGTTTCTAATGTGACCGTGATAAAAGTCAAGATCCCTATACATATTGACTCACCTGTGTGAATGAAGGTGTGTTTTTTCATATCAGATTTCTGGTGAAATCCTTTGCCACAGTATTGACAGGGGTAGGGCCGTGTGTCAGAGTGGATAAGCAGGTGAGTGGACAGGGTGGAGGAGCGCTTGAACACTTTCCCACACACCTTACAGCCAAACGTACGCTCCTGAAACTCATGAGAACACAACATATAGGCAATATATTTTGTGGAACATTATTTATTGAGTTGTCACATTTAATTTCAATCACCGTTTTATATGAAGTTTAATTAATCCTTTTTTTACAAATACACCAAAACAAACTAATATAGGTCATATAGTATAGGCACCTCAAACTCAACTCTGGACTTCGAAGCCAGTTCCACACCATTTTTTAATTGTTCCCCTCCAATCAGGGACTGATTTAGACCTGGGACACCAGGTGTGAGCAATTCATTATCAGGTAGAACAGAAAACCAGCACGCTCCAGACCTCGTAGGGTAAGCGTTCAATACCCCTGGTATAAGCCATATAGTCATGTATAGGGTCTACTGTGGTGTATATAGTTTATAACTGGCATCAAAACCTTAATTAACAGTCCTGGTGATAATACACTATCACATATTTCATTCAGTGTATCTACTTTGAACCAAGGTTGGGGTCAAAACCATTTCGATGACCGAATTAAAATGGAATTGACCCCAACCCTGCTTTAAAATGTACAGTTATGAATAGAACTACTGTTCCCTTAAGGAGGGAATGAGGTCAGTGGAGGCTGCTGAGGGGGAGAACAGCTCATAATAATGGCAGGAACGGAGTAAATGGAATAGCATCAAACACCTGGAAACCATGTTTGATACCATTCCGCTCCCATCATTACCACGAGCATGTTCTCCCCAATTAAGGTACCACCAACCTCCTGTGAAGGAGGCATAACATACTACGGGGAGTCAACAACCAATCCTATTCACCTGAAGAAATCACGCCCAACCGGGCCAATGGATGCCGAGCCCGCCCTCGTAAGCCCGCCTTCCTGGCTATAATTCCGGGGTTTGTATTAATTTCCTCAATTCAGTACTGCTCTTCAGCGAGCCCAAACCCCCAGACGGAGAGGGCCAAAATATGTTATACCTCGTTCCTTCCTTCATGGAACAGTAGTTATATTCATAACTGTACATTCCCTTTCAGTCGGTCAGTCGGTATAACATACTATGGGGATATAAAATCACGCCCCAAGCCGGCTCAGAGGGTACCAAACTAGGAGGCCCACGGCAGCACAAGCAAACACAGGTTCTACCGGCTCCAAAAAAGGGGTTACAGAAGCCACCTTTTTCCCTAATACATACCCGAGAAGCCTGAACTGTCAGAGCCTCATGAGCCCTGAACTCTGAGCCCCATATAGGGAACCAGAACCTGCTGCAACTTGGCTATGTGCACTGACATGCTGCCACTGCAGCCCAAGTCCATAGATCCCACGGTTACAAGAATACTTATCTTGCGAGCCTGAAATGCCAGAACTCGTACAAGGAACCGTCCAAAAGTCCAAAACAACAGAACACCTGTTGTGACTTGGTAAAGTGCACATGTGCGCTGCATAGCATCGACCAGCATTGATGAACCACGGCAGCCCGAGGATCAAACCCACAGGAAACTGCAGTAACCTGGAAACTGTGTACTCGCACCAACAGGAAACTGTGGTAACCCTGATAATGCACACTTTACGCGCTGCCACACAACAAGGCAGGACGAAACATCACTTTGGACTTGCCAGGCGCAAACTCCAAACTGATAGCACGTGGAGATCCCCAATGCACTTGGCCGACGCCAAAGCCATGAGCAGGGCAGTTTTGTAGGAAAGGACCTTCAGGTCCACAGAATCGAATGGTTCAAATGGAGTCTCATACAGAGTGTCTAGGACCAAAGCCAGGTCCCAGGTCGGTGCCATAGGCTTAGACACTGGTCCGAGCAGACGCACACCTTTCAGGAACCGCAGCACCAGAGGGTGAGACCCCGGGGTAGAGCCGTCAAACCCTACATGACACGCTGAGATAGCTGCCATATAAACCTTCAATGTGGAAAAAGAAAGGCCCTGCTCAAAAAGCTCTTGCAAGAACATCAATGTCCACCAAAGACTTCTGAAAAGGAAAAACTCTTCACCTGACCCCAATCTTCAAACGCGTGCCATTTATACACTACCAGTCAAAAGTTTGGACACACCTACTCCTTCAAGGGTTTTTCTTTATTTTTACTATTTTTTACATTGTAGAATAATAATGAAGACATCAAAACTAGGAAATAACACATATGGAATCATGTAGTAACCAAAAAAGTGTTAAACAAATCAAAATATGTTATATTTGAGATTCTTCAAATAGCCACCCTTTGCCTTGACAGCTTTGCACACTCTTGGCATTCTCTCAACCAGCTTCATGAGGTAGTCACCAGGAATGCATTAAAATTAACAGGTGTGCCTTCTGAAAAGTTAATTTGTGGTTAGTTAATTTTAATGCATTTGAGCCAATCAGTTGTGTTGTGACAAGGTGGGGGGGGGGGGGGGTGTATACAGAAGATAGCCCTATTTGGTAAAAGATCAAGTCCATATTACGGCAAGAACAGCTCAAATAAGTAAAGAGAAACGACAGTCCATCATTACTTTAAGACATGAAGGTCAGTCAATATGGAACATTTCAAGAACTTTGAACGTTTCTACAAGTGCAGTCGCAAAAACCATCAAGCGCTATGATGAAACTGGCTTTCATGAGGACCGCCACAGGAATGGAAGACCCAGAGTTACCTCTGCTGCAGAGGATAACTTCATTAGAGTTACCAGCCTCAGAAATTGCAGCCCAAATAAATGCTTCACAGAGTTCAAGTAACAGACACATCTCAACATCAACTGTTCAGAGGGGACTGTGTGAATCAGGCCTTCATGGTCAAATTGCTGCAAAGAAACCACTACTAAAGGACACCAATAAGAAGAGGAGACCAGCTTGGGCCAAGAAACACGAGCAATGGACATTAGACCGGTGGAAATGTGTCCTTTTGGTCTGGAGTCCAATTTGAGATTTTTGGTTCAAACCGCCGTGTCTTTGTGAGACGCGGTGTGGGTGAACGGATCATCTCCGCATTTGTATTTCCCACTGTAAAGCATGGAGGAGGTGTTATGGTGTGGGGGTGCTTTGCTGATGACAGTCTGTGATTTATTTAGAATTCAAGGCACACTTAACCAGCATGGCTACCACAGCATTCTGCAGCTAAACGCCATCCCATCTGGTTTGGGCTTAGTGGGACTATAATTTGTTTTTCAACAGGACAATGACCCAACACACCTCCAGGCTGTGTAAGAGCTATTTTACCAAGAAGGAGAGTGATGGAGTGCTGCATCAGTTGACCTGGCCTCCACAATCCCCCGACCTCAACCAAATTGAGATGGTTTGGGATGAGTCGGACGCAGAGTGAAGGTAAAGCAGCCAACAAGTGCTTGGCATATGTTGGAACTCCAAGACTGTTGGAAAAGCATTCCAGGTGAAGCTGGTTGAGAGAATGCCAAGAGTGTGCAAAGCTGTCATCAAGGCAAAGGGTGGCTATTTGAAGAATCTCAAATATAAAATATATTTTGATTTGTTTAACACTTTTTTGGTTACTACATGATTCCATATGTGTTATTTCCTAGTTTTGATGTCTTCACTATTGTTCTACAATGTAGAAAATAATTTTGTGAAAATAAAGAAAAACCCTTGAATGAGTAGGTGTGTCCAAACTTTTGACTGGTACTGTTTAAACCCTCTCGTAGAGGGTGCACGTGCCAACTGTATAGTCAATCACGTTCAAGGATAAATCCCTGGCCGTCAAATTCAACCTTTCAGGGGCCAAACCCACAGATACCATATGTGGCCGTGGATGCCAAACTCTCCACGGGTCCCCGCCCAACAGGTAGATGATCTCCAGGAACCATGGTTGTCTGGGCCTACGGGGAGCCACCAGAATCAACAACAGACCCTCCTGATGGACCCTCTCCACCGTGACCCGAGTCAGGTACACCGGAGGAAACACATAGAGCAGTGTCCGATGCCACTGATACGGTAAAGCATCCGTTCCCACCGGAGTGCACAGATCCCTCATTGTGAAGAAGACGACAATGCACATTTTCTCGCGATGCGTAAAGATCTACTGCTGAACTGGACCCATATCTGGGCAACCACCGAGGGGTACAGTCTCCACTACATAGAGATAGCGCCCCCGTGGAAAGTAGAACCGCACCCACGTTGAGAAATACGGGAAGATACGTCGCCCTGAGCGACAGGAAATGTGCACTGCTCCATACGAGCAGATAACGGGCCAGGTTTAGGAGAGACTGAGACCACGTCCCCTCCTGCCTGTTGATGTAAGCCACCACTGTCCTGTTGTCGGACCAACACATGCTGGCCCTCAAACATTGGAAGGAAATGCCTTAGCGCTAGCAAACAGTCAGTAGCTCTAGGTAATTGATATGCAGCACCCTTTGCGCTGTTTACCAAATCCCTCTTTCAGAGTAGCCCAAACACAGCGCTCCCCATCCCAGTAAGGATGTGTCTTGATCTACCCGGCCCATGAGAACCCTCTGCAACAGCAGTCGCAGGTCCCGCCAAGTAGTCAACGCCCTTACGCACGACCGGGATTGTTACGGATACAGGTATCCTGTGTCTTTTTGTGTTTTTCCTCTCCTTCTGCCCTAATCACAGGTGTCCTGTATGTTCCTGATTGGTGGTCGTTGGGGTGTCTGCTGATTGCTGAGATGGACCAATCAGTGGACATTCCTCTGCATTGCACCACCTGTTTCTGGTTTTTCAATCACACGTCCCCAGTTGTGTTTGTTGTTAGAAGACTATTTTCCGTATGTGAGTATGGATACTGTGGTGTCCTGTGTTTTGTGTACTCACTAAGTTGCTGGTTACTCTGTTTGGTAACTTTGTGTGTTTCTGGGAAAAGGGGAAGTTAAGCAAGCTGCCCTTGGGCATACATTACCCGTAGAAAGAAAACTGTCTATAAACACTAGTTAGACCTGAGCGGACCACCCACTGTATTTTTGTATGATTAGCAGTAGTTTAGCAGTTCTTGAGGCAGGCAAGATCAGTTTAGGGGTGTTTTACACTATTGTTTCATTTCTTGGGTCCTGCTCAGCCCTTTTTCCCAAACCTTTACCGTGTGTTCACAAATAAACATTTTATGTTTG